AAGTTTGTCACTTTGGGAAGAGAGGTTACATCTTGTGGTCGAGCAAGGTTGTCATACGGGGAGTTGATAAGGGGAGTGGTTATGTTTGGACGGGTTTTTTGACGAATTCGGTGCAAGTTTCGCGAAAGAAGTGAGAATTAGGTTGAATTGGTAGATTTGGCGCTTCGTGATACCAAATTGCTCACTCCCTCTCCCCTCCCTGCACGATGGCGATTTCGGAGGAAAAAGTGGGCGGAGTTGAACTGTGTCGACAGTCTTAGAATCAAATACTGTAGTACTATGGAATCAGCCTTGATGGTGAGGATAGGGGTCGAAAAGGGGGAAAGGGAATCGTATTGAGGGAGCCTTTTAAGACCTGTTGGTGGTGGTGCGAGTCGTATTGAGACCATCCTAAAGGGGGAAGGGTCGCAAAATTACTGAAAGTGCAAACGTGAGGCTGACTCGTTGAATTTTTGGATTCGTTGTCTCAAGACCGATTATACGCACAGGCGAATGGTCTTCGCGTGCTTTGGCGGTAATTCAGACCTCAGGAATTTCCATTGCAGATTCGGTAACGTCCGTAAAGCACATACGACCTGAGCTTAACAATGAAATGCTCTTCATTTCCCATGGTTACCTGCGGATGCGACACAACCCTGGGAAGCGATCTTGTACACAACATTCGCTGATTGACAGTCGCCTTCTCTTATTGAAGGCACATTCCAAGGCATAAATCAGGGCAAAAACGGCTTACTTGGATCGGTATATATGAAGCGGTATGCTAGCTGACTAACTAAGGGGAATTAAATGGAACCCCTGAAAGGAAGAGGAAATTCGTCCTTCGAGGACAGAGACAGGAAAGTGTTCGGGAGACAAATAGTGTAAGAGGTACTGGATGCCGAAGCGAGGACAACAGACAGATATGAGAGCGATTACGATAAGTCGGTACCTTTACAACTTCTGATGTTGTACCTCCACCAAGCTTGACCCACACCTCATCTGTTACCCTCTGATATACACCTCCTATAAACACCTCATCTGTAACCCTCTAATAACTATCCCTTTTCTAAGAGCAAGAGCTACAATGTTATTACAAAGATGTCATGTATTATAGAGAATTCGGGATCAGACGAATTAAACCCGCACATATATAAAAGGTACGGTATTCATTGAAAGAAGAGAAGAAACAAAAAGTGCCGGTCTGCTAGAAAATCTTACACTGGATTAGTTGAACCAGGGCTCGGCACCTGAACAATATGAGCATTCGTGTAGGCAGCCACCACCATTTCTATCATTCCCTCCAGACCCATGGCATAATTGCCGCTTTTGAAGTGCCCTGAAAAGCATGCCTCTATTATATAGATTATACAGACTTTTTCACAAGGGTTGTAGTTCCTCAACAGATCTGTGATTTCATAATGAAAGGAGAGCAGCAAAACAAATGAAAGTGTTTCCTTAGGAAGACGGCCAATGACTTTACACGATGAGTTTCGAAAAAAGTCACAGAAGCCAGCTCACCAACGTTTCGCTCAAACGCATTCTTGAGGGTGTCTTTGGAAATGCGAGCGTCCCGCCCAGCAACGGTGAATACCTGCAAAGAGCGCTGTAATGAGTAGATTGTTAACGAATTTCCAATCACTTCTTGTTATAACATTTCGGTTTCAGCCATGAAATCAAGGGCACATTTCGCGATTGAACAGGAGTAGGTCATTGCGTTCGAAAATAAAGTAATTGCGACGATGAGCCCAAAACTGATGAAAGAACGCGAAAAAGAATTGCTGAACACGGAATCGTACTGCGCTCCACTCGATTGGACGGATGTATGTTTTCCTCTCCCATCACAACCTCGCTGCTTTCTTCACTTTCTCGTGGACCGATCACCAAGACTACGCCAATTTTCGAACACTAACCCCTACTCTACCGTGTAGCGGCATACATATCTCCCTCCTAGAAAAACCTTAAAAGACCGTGTTTGTAACTACTGTGAAACGAAAATGCCAAGTGCTGCCACGACTACACTATTAGTTCATTGTCTTCAATTTCGAAAATGCATGCAGCCTGGCGAAAATTCTTTCCTGAATTACCTGTCGGTCCTGCTTGGAATTCACAATAAGAACCATTGTATCGCAGCTTGACACGTCCTAAACTAGCATATAACGAAAACAAAAATGGTAAGAGCAAAGAATATCGTTTATGAGTAGGACGAAAAGTAATTTTTATCTAAATTAAGTACTTTACTTTAAATTCTTACATTCACGGGATCGTCCGCTCCTTATCTAAAACTCATCATCTAAAACTCTCATTAAAAATCTTACGAGGAATGCTCAATTGGTCAGTCCGGCCATTTGTAATGAGGTGTAGTCCGCTATACTCGTCTTGCGACGCTGAGCTCAAATCCGTTCTCGGTATCTGCGGAACGATTCTCTGAAAGAAGTTACGAGGGATTCTTCTCACTGTGGCTTTCTCACTATGGCGCCCTCTACATCCTCGCATCCCGCTTGCCACGCTCACGTTGAGCCGGTGAGGAGTTCTAGATGTGGTACTGGTGGTGCAGTGGATAGCACGTTTGCTTCATATTGGTGAGGTCAGATGTTCAAATCCTTGCGCATGGCAAACTTTTGCATTTTTCCAGGGCTCCTCATGCGAACCCAAAATGTGTTTATATTTGGATATTTTGTCGATTTGCGTCCCCATACATCTGTTATACTATACATCTGTTTTGTTTTGATCATTTTGTGAGGGACTATCATAGTTGCTCGTATAGCTGGAATAACTTTTCGAAATATTGTTAATTTAAGAGCTTCTGTGTGTCAAAGTTCATCTTAACGAAGAACTGAAAAAATGAGCACGAGAAGGAGATTCCAGAGTCTGCCCTCTCCAGATGTAAAAGGGGGACGCAAATCGACAAAATATCCAAATATAAACACATTTTGGGTTCGTATGAGGAGCCCTGGAAAAATGCAAAAGTTTGCCATGCGCAAGGATTTGAACATCTGACCTCACCAATATGAAGCAAACGTGCTATCCACTGCACCACCAGTACCACATCTAGAACTCCTCACCGGCTCAACGTGAGCGTGGCAAGCGGGATGCGAGGATGTAGAGGGCGCCATAGTGAGAAAGCCACAGTGAGAAGAATCCCTCGTAACTTCTTTCAGAGAATCGTTCCGCAGATACCGAGAACGGATTTGAGCTCAGCGTCGCAAGACGAGTACAGCGGACTACACCTCATTACAAATGGCCGGACTGACCAATTGAGCATTCCTCGTTAGATGCACTTTGTTTAATAGAATTGTTGCGAAGGCTAGCCATTGTTCCACTCTCCGAAGCAGCACTCCTTTTTTTCAAGCAAATCTCTAACAATAACCTCTCTGCAGGCCTGGCTGATTTTTGGCGTTTCTGACATCCACGGACAGTATGAGCAAATTGGGTGTATACTTGTACCCACTTTTACTCATATCTTTTTCGATTCTTACATTCACGGGATCGTCCGCTCCTTATCTTCGAATTCGTGAGCAAATGTTACAGGGAAAAATTTGCGATGGTGCAAGAATCTAAGACAAACAAAGAGGCTCTAATGGAATAAGAATAAAGTGAAGAAAATGGCACAGAACCCAAAATGGGACCCCTGATTCGTCGTTTGATCTCCTCATGGATGCTACCCTCTTTTTGCTGCTGTTTTCAAAGTTATTGTTCGCTCTCCTAGACTGCTAGAGTCAGCCATACGGCGAGGCGGTGGATGGGCAGCTGCGCGCGCGACGCGAGTGTTGCCCTACTAAACCTTCTCTTGAGCGTTCATCCGCCGCAAACGCCATCGTTCCGCACCCCTTACAATTTGGCAGACCGTCTGCCTTTCGACTTGGTATATTCTCTTTTTTTGACCTCCAACCTTAACGTGGAATTCTTCTTAAAGTAGGGGACACAATGAAATACCTCTGAGAGGATGTGGTCGCTAAAAATTATAATGAATAAAAGCTGTTCCGCAATCTTAGCCTACTGATGACCAGAATCCGCTACTGAGAAGAGCTTCTGTGGTTTTTCGAAATGAGGGGTGAGTCATGGAGAGATAGAAGAAGGTATCACCCCTTTTGTAAACCAAGAAAACCTTTGGTTCCTTTCATGAAGTTTTCGAGCTTGAACCCAGTTAGCTACTCTTCCGTAATTGTTAAGTTTAGTTTTGGAGGATTTTCTAGGTTAGCTTGTGCGGGATTTCATGATCCATCCTATTGACAAAAAACGGGAGCTGTTCCAAGAAATTGGGTGATAAGCACTTTTTACCTGATAATTCTGGAAACGTCTTTTGAGGTTGTTGGCGAATTTCTCGATATCTACAGGTGCTCCAGGTACGCTTCCAATTTTGTCCATAATCACTAAGAAGATCTGAAAAAAAAACTGTAAGCATTCGTATGTCGAAATAACGGCCAGCTCATTAGTTTTCCGGCTTCACGCGCAATGATCTCCGTTAAAGGCAAAGTTCGGGCTCAGACCCACCTAATGAGCCCTTAAAGTGGCTAGAAGCGCATGGGACACAACTGTAAGCGACTCGCCAAAACCCCGCATCGAAATGCGTCACTGAAGCGCTAGGGGCCAAGGACTTTGACACGCTCCTCCTGCCGCGACACGCTCCGCCCACCGCTCGATATTTTGTCTGCGTCGCAATGCTGATCTGCTATGCTCTCTCTTCTCGGATTTCTCTACCGCTCTCCGCGCTCACATTATCTCTCATCTCCCTGCCGGCCTTTTGAACTTCTCCGCAACGTAGAGCAAAAGGCTCGTATTTCCTGTGTATTTCACGTTTTTTTTCCTTTTTTCTCCACTGGCGGTCCACCTCCCACTCCCTACATCACATTTGAGTAGAATTACCTCATCAGTTTAAGCTTGAATCTTGCCTTTAAAGTGTAGCTATAAGTTTCATTTGCCACGGACAAAGTAACATATAAGATTATAATAGCAAAAATAAGCGCAGTGGTCGAGAAGAGAATGGCTCACACTTTATAACCCTTTCCAAGCCTCTCGCAGCACGAAAATCGAACTTACGTCGAGGTTTCGCTCCGGTTGAAATGCACAAGCTGGTGATGTATTGCGAATGCCAGAAGTGATTGGTCGGAACTGCAAACAATTCTATTTTTCCGAATAATTTTGTTATCCTGTCTTTTCCAAGGTCACCTAATGCAGTAGTAAAACTGCCCTCTTCCCATCAATTTGTCTTTTCTTCCGCAGTTATGCAAAACATACCTGTTTGCTTTTTGCATGAGGCGTCACGATCTTCATCTGCAAGCACGGCGGACGGGTCACAGACGTTGCTGGCGAAAGGTAGCCGACACGTGAGCGGATCCAGTCGTGGATCTGGATAGGTTTGCGATGTGTACTGACCGGCCGCCATACCAATGATACTGAGGAGCACAAAAAGTCGCATTGCCTTGGAATTGCTCGATTCCTCTGAAAGAAATCTTGCGAAGGGTAATGATATGCTTTGACCATCGAGAACGTGTAAGGACGTATAAAATTCAGGACTCAGAAAGATCTGACATATTGAAAAGTCGCGTAAGTTGTAAAGGAAGATTTCGTGTAAGGGTGAAAGATCAGAATGAAGAGGGAGAAATAGAATCTTTGGTTTATCGAGCCTTCACAAGTTTCCACTGATGTTTGCGAATCACAATACCAATCGCAGGTAGGATGGATCCTTTATGTCATCCCTTGCAATGCCGATGTGACCCCTGGAGGGGATTCTGGTAAAAAAATTCACTTCCACAGGCCGAGCTAACAGATGTTCCGAGTACTGTTTTCAGAGCTTTTGAAACACATATTAAGCGCAGATTATCCGGTTTTCGCTAGTTTTCTGCCGTCCTGCCATAGCTGGACTCACGACTGAGATGAGGCGTAGCGGATGTCAAATTTGTGTGCAGTGATAGCAGGTCTGCTCATTAAAATATCAAATGTTCCATCCTCACCCCCCTCGCCCCCCCCTCCAACCGTGATGTCTGGTTATTGCGTCTAATGAGTGTGCATGCTCTTTAAAGGCATGCCCCAGGATCACATTGGTGTGGCTCTTGCACACGAATGTGAATGTATTGGTGCAAGTGGGCCGGCAGTGAAGAAAAAAGGAAAAGAATCCGTCGAAAACGCTCAGGTTGAGGGCTCACTCACCTTCCTAATCGGCTGTGCTAAGGAACGAGAGACTAAGCGCGGAGAGAAGATCACGAGGCAAGAGACCGTTACAGGTGAGCGTCGCCAGACGAGAGCTTGATAAGAGAAAAAATTCTGCAGCTTCAGCAGCTCATTGGAAGCTCAAGCGCTCTTGTCGGTTGGTTTCCGTTCATGGGAAGGCCAAATTCTTGATTATCCTAAAGGGGTCCATACTACAGAACGAAGGGCAACCTTCTCACGACCTCTGCCTGTTGTGTGCCGTTAAGTCACGACTCCCATGCCATCCACCACCTTGTCGTCAGTTCTTCGGCAATCGTCAGCATTATCCTTCACAAGCATTTAGATTCTACTTTTATTGCGACTTATCTAAAGTCATGAGCAGAAAGAGAGCTTGGAGCTGGTAAAATAATAAAGTAGCCGGTAAGTCACAAAAGGAGACAGCGAAGGTGTAAAACTAGCGTGAGCGACATCCGGGACAATGTTTTCTTTGTTGGCACATCGAGTATATCAACAATTATTGGGTTATGCAGCTAGGATAGCCAAATGCTGAATTGCGGTTTACCTGTGAAGAAATGTTTTGGAATGCATGTAAACACAAAATGAGCACAAAGTAGGTTTATCCGTGCAAAACCTGGCTAGTGAAACGGAACGTGACCGTCGTAATCGGCCACCGCGATCCGGTCTGATTCGAAATGAGCGAAAGTGAAGAGTGAGGGGAGTAACCGCGATCTCCGCCACGTAATAACACTCAAGAAAGGAGCACTTGCAAAAATTCAGAGCAAAATTCAGAGATTGGTGAATGCTTCATCGAAAAATCATAGCAATATCATTTCCAGATGGCTTCAGCCTGATCCGTTCCAAAATCCTTCATTCAAATGAAACATCGAGTATTGGTTAACAGTCAGTTTCGTTCTGAACTCTTGCAGAGCCCATTCCTTCCAGTTTCTTTCCGTTTGCAGGAGACTTCAGAACTTACGAGACCGGCCGTCCAAGAAGTTCAAAAATGGCCATATGTGACTATTCTAGTTCGAGTCATGTTAGTTGCATTGCCCTAATGTAAGCGAGTTGCAGCCAATTGAATTGATGAATCGCATGGCGATTCATGTTGCCTTTAGCCATAGTTGGCTCCTAAGCCGACGAAAATCTTTTTGTATTTGTGTTGTGTTTATGGCGCAGCGACAAGCACATTTGCTCTGCGCGTACTAGTTGAGTCGAGTGAGATCATGTTCCTGCTTTTCCCCCGCCCCTCATTCACGCCCGAGCTATTCAGGCGTATTGGCGTCTTCGCCCCGTTGAACGTTTCGGACCATTTACCTCCCAAAACTCTCGTAGCTGAATAGGCGCGGTAGCTTGCACAGTCTGCGCGTGTGGACCGTAACTGATAGCATCAGCCAAATTCGACCTGTGGCTAAGAAATTTATCTATAGACTGCTACCCTCCAAAGAAAAATTTGCCTGGAAATTAAAATGTCTCATCGACTTGCTCCGTTTGCCTCAGGAAGGGGTCCCACCAAAGAACTCGTTTTCCCTGATTCCTGATTGTTAGAGCTGATCGAGATTACCACGATAGGCGGTCACCGTAGCCTACACTGGCCCACATTTTCAACACTCCAAACACACTATCCTAGCCTAATTGTGAAATCCAAGCCTCTCTCAAAAGGTGACCATGTAAGTGAAGGGTGATGAAGATGGAAGTGCAAAATCAGAATCTATAACATACTTAAGCCTCAGTAAACAGGAATGAATCAAAAAGACGTTTCTTGTTATGTTGGTTAATGATTCTCCTCTCGTTTGCGACGACGACGAGCGACATCTTCGGCAGCATGCTCTCCTTACCGGGGAAGGAGATCGGAAACCCCTTCGAAACTATTTGCCTCTGCGAATTATATTCGTATTTCCTTCACCTTACGCGCATTTTTTCTTTTACATACGTGAACGTTATGACTGGGTCCTTTCTTAGGACCATTTGTGGCTGCAAACATGAAAATTTGAACGAAGAAGAAATTTTAAGGAAAAAACGTGAAAAGCTGAGTTGGGATGAAATGGTGCCCCGGTAGCGTAACTTGTAGCGCACTTGCCCGGTAAGCAAGAGGTGCGGGTTCGAGTCCCGTCTGGGGCGAAAGTTTTGTTCACAACCCAGCATTTTTCATGAAGTTTTGAGGGGAACTTCGACTCCCCACTCCTGGGATAGGCTAGACCGACCCCTGCTTGAGCGCCATAGAAAATTCCGAATTAGGCTTGGATAACAATGGTCTAATCAAGAGAAATGACACCCTGAGCGATCAAGAATGGATCGCTCTACACTTTTTAAATATTCACCATTCTTATGCTTCGCGATCGGGAAGCTGAACTGACGGGGTCAGACATACTTGAAATCTGAAACGAAGCATTCGGCGTAACGCACCATCAATGGATCAATGAAAAAGTAGCTTCTCAACTCTAGTCAGAAACGTGAGGATCATATCCATCATTTTCCGCGCAAAAAAGGCAACTTCAAATCAGAAGCACTAGAAGAAAGAGTTGTTTTCATACTGCTATTTTCACCAGAATATAGTTTGCAGAAAACACCACCATATCAGCAAGGGCTAGACATCAAAGTGGTAGAACCGGTCAGAAGAGAGCCTATAGGAAAGATTAGCATCATTGCGCAAATGTGGAACGTGAATGGCGCATTCTGAAGGTGAGAATAATTAGCAGTAAACACATTATCCCTGTAGAAGAGATGATAGACATTGAGAGAGACCATTTAGAACCAAATGTTGTGATGAGAAATGGCGCCGTCGCCGAGATCGTAGAAACGAGAAAACCGCAAGCCGAACTGAGCGCGCACTGACTGTCACCCGATCCCTTTGGCTAGCACTGATCTTGAAAAAGCTCTAGGCGCATTTAAAGCTCTCAAAGTTGGAATGGATCTAAAGTAGCGCCGATCGCGCGATAAAATATTACTTGGAAGCGGATGTCTTGCTTCAACAGCTATGGGTGAGTTCATATCTAGCCCGCTTGAGTCTTGTTAACTCTGGGGTGTAAAACGCTCTTATAAAGTGAGCGTTGATTATTAGATCAACGGAAAAAGTAAAACGTAGGAAACCCTGTTTAAATTCAACCGCTGCAACTTTTTGCTGACAGCCTCAGGACCGGCTCACAGCAGGAAGTTGTAAGTTTAAATTGGGTAGCATTACGACGAAATGCTGGAACTGAGTTAACCCTACGCTGTAAATTTCACAGCAGCTATCACCGGTTCTTCAACTAGAGCTGTGATACACCGACAACGCCTTAATTAGGGCCCCTTTATGCACACTTTAAGATGACGGACTGTACACACGACACTCTTTGCGACGCAGAGGTCTCGAAAGCACTGACGAATGCAACCTTGGTAGTTTTTGAAAATCTGTAGGGGCTAAAACAATCGAGTGATAAAATATTGCTTGGAAACGGATGTCTTGCTTCAACAGCTATAAATTACCCGGCGGCGATTCGGCGCTCATAACGGATCGTTCTTCACAGGTAGTGAAAGGAAGCTATTACGATAAAGAGGGAATGCGTTGTGGAAGTATGTAAAGTATGCGCCACATGAAGCAGTTGCTGGCCTGCCGAGAAAGTTGTGAAATTTTCACGAAGAAAGGTGCGCTGGTTGCTGAGCAGGACTTCGAAAGCACTCCGCCCAAAAGCGATCCGCCCACTAGTTTAGTTGGTGATTTGGACGAGCTGCGTTGCCAGCAGCGGCACAACTAAGCAACTCGATTGGAGCATGGATTGGCATGGTGCCACCACATGGAGTGCAGTAAACTCGTCCCCTCTTGACCGCTGCCCGTTGTTGAGCGATAACTAATGGCATAACAAAACGGCCCACTTTTTGCGTTTTTCAAACAGATTTCTTTGATTTTGTTGCTATTTGCATATCATCGAACACCTCCACGTCCTTGTAAGCCAATACAAAACTTATTGTAATCGCTGTCTTTAAGATAACAGATTAATTAGCTGCAGTAATCGCACAGGTAAAGCAGCAGAGGAATTGGATAGATGCAATTAATGTTAGAAAGGTCCAAAAACATTTGATAATGGACGAGAGTGGAAGTTAGAAAGTGGAAGAGCTGATGAGGCAAAAAAAGAGGTTGGATATGACCC